ACTGCTGAGTGAGCTATTTGTTGCCATGCGGTGCAGCTGTTCCATTTACTAATTGTTAGAGGTCCTGCTCGGCCCTCTGGACGTGTGATGTCTCTACATCAACTAAACCGCAGGTGAAGCGAGGTGCCCACTTCATAACCGCAGGGCTTCTCATTCTTCACCACACTTACCCTTTAGACATATAAAAGGTACTGGTTAGAGAGATTACATATCACGTTCATCCTGATCTTCTAGTGGATACTTAACCTGAAGCATGGCAAACAAGTTACAATATCACAGTTAAATTAAATGTTTAATTTGTGTGTCAGCAGGTGTTCTCACCTTGGAACAGCAACATGAAATATGCAGAGTTTTGCAAAAGTACTCACCTGCCTCTGTGTATTCCCTCTATTAAAACATGGATTGGTCAAATGAGGGAAGGTAAAAAAAAAAAAACTGAAGATTGTGCTGAAATTTTTATAGGAAGTTTCCTTCTCTCGGGGCTCACACACAGAGGATGGGCCACTGAATACAACTTTTTGCTAGTATAAAATGCTGCATCAATAATTCTTGAAATCTTCATTTTCACTGACTGGTTGTGGATAAAAGATTTGTTCAGTGTCTTCAAACATACTAAAAACGCTACAGATAGCTGTTGCAGTTACTCAAAAGAAAAACCGGTTTGGTCGAGATTCTCGTGACAGAAAGGTCATGCTGGTTGCCATGACAGCCACAGATAGTTGCTCTTACCTGCAGCAGTCTGAGAGAGGATGGCCAAGGCTGAGGATGCAGACAGGAAAGACAACAAAAGAGTTCCTCAACACACCCAGAAAACGTACTTGCAGTGGGTTTGTTTGTTCAACTTTGAATCGATATTTACATGTGGCTACGCAAACTGTTTGCACGGTTTCACGCAAATGACACCACTGGGATAGGTATTGTTTGTGCTGTAAACAAAGACACTGTAATAAGCATGATAAACAGCTGATTCAAGGTATGGTAATTACAGGACATTTTAATTCTCAGACGACAGATGATAGAGCTGCTATTCTCTTGTCTCTGCTGTTGCTAATGAAGAACAGCTCGAGCAGAGTCTTCAATCTGTGACGTTGACAACCAGCCCAAAGACGCCGGCAGTTGCCAGCCCTGCTGTTGTGTCCAGCCTGTAAGGTAAATCAGTAAATCTGTCAGCGTTACTAAGAAAAGCAGAGGGTCTGTTCTGATAAATAAGGCAGACAAAAAGCTGCGTAGCTCGGGCTATGAATCAGAGAACAGAACGTAAGAAACACACACACAAGTAAAAGCTAAAGAAGCCCAAGCACCCACACACAGCCATCTTCCCTTTGCGGTTGTTAAGCAAACAGCCCGAGGCCCAGTCAATGAGCATGTCAGCGGTGGGCTGACATTCTGTCACACACGGTGTGTTTAGAAACAGATGCCTCCTCCTGTTCATTTACCTTACTTACAAACCAAGCCCGAGATATCCCTGTACGTCCTACAAGGTACGGAGATGGATACTTTCAGTTTAGAGCAGACAGACAATGTGTATTTCCATCAACTTTGGAATTAAAACGGCAAACTGTGCTGCGATATAACAAAAACAGGTAACTTCAAAGGTACGCAGAAGCCGGGTATACGTCTGGTGGAGTTGATCCTCATTAGCGTGCAGGGAGACAAAGAGCAGCGCGCCTCATGCAGACAGGTATATCTGTGATTGGGTGGCTTCACCAGCGGAGGATGAGAGGATGCACCAGGGTTCTCTCCCCGCAGCCAGAGACACTCTAATTAAGGAGCACAGTGGGCAGAGGGGGCGAGAACAACAGCGCCGCATTGTCACATAATGATTTTCTTATCATCTCTAGCACAGGAAGCGCTGCACATCTCTTGTCTGAGAGGCACGTGTGTGCGTTTGTTCGGGAGCCCCTCTTGAGTAGCCGTCTGTAGTCACACCTAGAAATGTGATATCACAAAAGCCTTGGTGCTGTTTTCAGTGCCTGACGGGGGGAATACTCCAGTCATCCTGCCACAACAGAGCGCAGCGACATTCGAAGGATACAAACGCAAGCAGCTACAGACGCATCGCCTCAATCCACATACTGAGGGCTTATTTTCATTCATTCAAGAGGAGGCTAGTCACTAGCCATTAACATTGATGCATGTTGAATCCATCCACAAAATTGTTTTGCATAATCAGTATTACATATGTATATGTTTGGTTACATTTGTGTAATTATTTGCCGCTATTCATATGTCCGGATGTACAGTGATATGGGAGGCAAAGAGTCATATAATTCTGCACGCAGTCTTTATAAGTGAAAGTGATTTAGTTTAAGTAATACATTTTGCACTAAAATACTGTCAGGTGGAAGGGTGTCTTCTTCAGCATTTCACATGGAATATTTTGTTTTCAAATGTATAAGTTACATTTTCACAGTGCCTCCCTGTATGTTCAGTCACAATCTGCTCACTACTTTTAGAGACAGTTTTCCAATCTTTCAATAAGTAAGCCATTCATCTTTTAAAATGTCTAAAACATGGCAATGAATAGCAACAAAATATGCAAATATGCATTAAAAGTGTATCCGGTTTGTACAACTACAGCAGAAGGTAAAATAATTAGTAGTTTAAAAAACACACACAAACATTGATAGAAAACTGGAAGCAGATAAAAGAATTAGAAATCAGTGGTGGACTGAATTATGGAAGAAAATGGAAATGTAGTGGGTGGGGGTTACATTGGACCAGATGGGTCCTGGTCTGCTTTGTGAGAGCAGCAGATGCCCTGAGATCCTGGGCCACTGAAATGCCTCCAGCCCCTAAACACCAGAGTGCTAAAGAGGCCGAGCCCCGTAACCCCGCCGTGTCACATGTGCACTCTTTGTGATATAGAAATGTAGGTTAAAAGGTTTGTGTAAACCTGTACTGCTGCCACTAAGAAGATCATCTGGATGTACTTCACTTGTGACTTGGTCAAATGGATGCTGGTCAGAGAGCCTGGTGAAAAGCAGAAACAGCTACTGTGTCCTGCATTGCTGCATGAAAAGCCGATACAAATGTGTTTTTCAGTTTCATTTGTGTTAGTGATGCCGGGGACACTTGTTACACACTGTCTGTGCATGTCCATGCATGTCCCTTACACAAGTCATCTTTAATTGCACTGCAACCAGAGAAGCGGAGACAATAGTCACACACAAGGTGATGAGCGGCATGCAAACAGTGTAAGAACGCTGCTTCTGAAACTCCCCCGAGCGGAACAGCAACACATGAGTCATCGTCTGTAGCAGACGCGCTGCTTCTCTCACCGACCGGGCGATGAGTTCTGGGCGGTGCTGCGGGACTTTGGTTTTGTGACGATAACACAGCTGCATACCAAGCAGAGGCCATCACATGGTCTTCCTACGGGAGAGCATCTCCCTCTAGTGGACCAGACGGGACTAAAAAGTAGCAATAATGTTTTTGAATTGAAACTCCATCTTCAGATATCCTCTTTTGTTTGACAGTACAGTACATTGAATGATGTCATATGAAGCCCCAAAATGTATTATGATGAATTAAAGGTGCTGTATGATAATATAGATAATCAATACTTTAGTTACTGTCAATCTGTCACTACTTTCCCAGTTCCCCAGCCTGTTTACATCCGATCTCAGATACTAATCAATCCCATCAGCTTTACCTCAAAACACTGGTGTGCTAGCATGACAACAAGTGGTTAGTGTTTAGGCTGTAATGTGTTAAACCGTAGCATATATGACAGTTGTGATAACACTTATCTGTTGTGAGTGGGATCTGTTGCATTGATCTGTTTTTTAATATGATATTTGTATTACAGGTTGTGCAGAAAAGCTCATTCTCACATCTGCCTACGAGGAACTAAACAAAGAAACATTTGGGATTTTTTCTAGTGTTACAACTGGTGTTACAAATGGATGGATGACTCAAGCGATCCTTGAGTTCATACTGCATCTGATATATTTGAGATATATATCTCTATATCTATATATAGATATATCTATATATATATATATATAGATATATATATATATATATATCTGAGAATTTGTTAGTAATTATTTTTCAGGCATAGTTATCAGTCTGTTTTCTTTCTCTTGTGTTATGTAACAGAAACGCGTCTGCTTATTGTTATATCTGCCAGCGATCAATTTATTGAGTACCCCAAACTGAATTGGATGCTATCTCATCATACTTTCACCAGTCCAGATGCGTTCATGTGTACATCCACATCTGTTGACTTTTCATTTTTTAACAACGAGGGCCCTCTGGGGGACGGATGTATCGCTACAAAAAGGTGAGAGTTGTAGCAAAATCCCAACTGAATACCCACTCATTGGCAGACTGCGGCCCAATCCCCACCGCCCTAAACCCTCAAGCCTGAACTATGAACCCTTAACTGTAAACCCTAATCCCTAAACTATAAACCCTAAACCCTTACCCTGAACCCTCAGGGACTTAAATGACGACAAGTTATAAATGGTTGAGGGTGAAAGTCTGTGAGGGCGATCTGATGAAAATATGAACGGGACAGCACTTTGCTGCCACATGTCCCGTCACCATGACAACGTCAAATCAGCTGATTTACATAACTTTGACTTTGTGATTTGAACCTTTCAGGCTTTAAGAGATCATTTTAAATACTTTTTGTTGTCATGATTGCTTCGATGACAAAAGTTCATATTTTATCAATAAATTAGTATTGTCTTCATTTTCATGTAGTTTATGGCAACTCAAATCTCCCAATCGGGTGATTCTGTTAACCTCTCGACTTACCCCATCAGTCATTAGGGAAAACCAAATGAGCTTCACACCGACCCATAGTTGTGGTTTGGGTGAAGAAAGAGCACCTGCAGAGTTCAGTATCTTGAATGAAGAATACCAAAAGGGAGGCAGCTCAGTTCAACTCTTAAAACCTCAACTTATTCCAAATGGACAGACGCTTCATGTTCAGTTGCTAATGGAGTACCTGGTTTATTCAGAACCTACATTAAATATCCAACACAAACCCAAACATAACTTTTTATTCAAGTATTAAAATGTAAAGCACATTATTCTGAATATCAACAAAGTACGAATCAACACAATTAGAAAAAGCAAAACTCCAACTTTTCCCTCGACAATCAATTTGTAGCCTGTTAAATTTCTCCTATTTGTTCTCCTAAATCTTACTCGGACATGTAATGCATAGAAATGTTTGCACTGTAGCTTTAGGGAACTACAATCATCCGTCCCAGAAATATTTCAGTTGGTCCCCAACTAAAATACAAAAAGCGATGAAAACACAAAAAAGGGTGTTTGATGAGTTAACCAGTAAAATTAAGAACAAATGTCCCACTGAGCAGGTTACTGCACTTAGCAAAGCACTTTCACACAGCGGAGTCTGTTTCTCAGCATTTGGAATAGAGCCTGTATATGAAGAAGTTAATTTGATACACATTAAGAGACATATTTTCATGAACCGTAGCCAGTTAGTATTAGTAGCCAGTTAGTACCGCTATAAACATAATGCTGTTTAGCTATGAAAGAACACCAAAATACAGACAAACTGCTAACCATTTATTTGCAACATGCTTGATAATTATCAAAAGTGAATATAAGAAAGGCACAACAAAATTGAGATTAACACCCCAATCCACATCAGACCAATTGTTCCTGCAACCTTTTCTTCAAAGTGTAGATTATCTATTTAAATTAACGTGTTTTATTTTAAATGACAAAATTAGCAGGAAAATATCCCAGTTTGACAGGGACAAAGGCATATATATATTTAAAGAGCTTTGTGCCTTTGATTTGGTTTAAGTGGTCTATATGCCCTTTTATATTTGACATCGTCATAAATCTGGCAATTAGATGAGCTCATTACCAACAACTGAGGTAATGGGCTCAAAACCTGGGAGGCATCTTGAAATAAACAGTGACCAATGAATGAAAAAACAGGGGAACATCCTAGTGCATGTTAAAAGTGAGCCAGATTAATATTGTGGTTATTTTAGGTGAGACGGGTAGCAAAAAAAGAAAGAGTTTAAAACAATTGACATCAACTCCTTGCCACCAGAATAGGATGGCTGCATGAGCCGGTTTGCTCAGAGCTTTTCACACAGACGAACCGTGACTCTGACTTCACTGAGGAAAAAGAAAGAAGGAAATACTCCCCTACAAAAGTGCCTGTCAGTGCGTTTCGGTTGAAAAGAAATGCTTTCTGTTGAAGCAGTGACATTTTTCCATGTAACACAAGTTATTTTCTTATATCTTACTGGATAAAACCAGGAATTTGTGAATTAAAAAAATCTTCAAAATAGAAATAAACAAACTTTCTTTTAAGATTTTCTAAATAATATACAATAAGTACAACAAATTGCAACATGACTCCTTCAAGTAAGTGCATTAGCTTTATGCCCTGTTGACAACAGCGAACGGTAGGAACCAGTAATACAGGAATGCGGCGTTCCCAAAGTATTTCCTTCCACATGTAACACTGGAACGAGGACCAATGAGCAAACAGAGGAACGAGTTGTGGAGTGAGGTGAGCTCTTCTGCAGCATTAGAAGCCCGTTCTGCCGAGGGCCTCGTCTTCAGCCTCCCATTAAGGGACGAGCAGGCTCAGAGCAAAACCTGGAACCGAGTCATGTCCTGCGCAGAGGACACTCGGGAAAGTCCTACAAAGTCTTGAGTCATTTAGATGGCGGTCAGTCCACCGTGATGCCTTTCTCTCTGAGCTCCTCTGTCACTCGCACCAGGTAAGTGGGGTCTGGGTAGCCAAAACTGTCAGGAGAAATAAAAATAAAAAAGCCATCACTGCATCTGTATGAGCTCAGGCAGCAAGTGCCATCTAGTCAAGGACATCAACTGAAAGCATTTCCCGGACAGGAATCTTAAATTACAACCGTCAAGCTTTACTGGGACATTTTCTGTGCTACCGCACCTGTTGGGAAGTTGCTCGAGCTATTAAAAAAATCGAGTCTCAGTGGCCTGATTTGCCTCCAGTTTAAAAGGCCATACATACCAACGGGGGCCGCCCCATATTGAGGTCTTGTGGTGAATGTCATTCCAGGTGATGACATTTTGCATGCCCGTAGTCATGGAGGTACCAATGGTGAAGATAAGGCGCTGTTCAAAGGCCCGGCGCAGCAGTCCCAACACACGGTTCCCCTCGGGGCTGTCGGGGAGGTAGGCCACGCGGTCTGTTCCGGGGTATCGAACACCCGGGTTCGGATGTTCTGGCTGTTAAGGAGTTAAAACAGGATCAGGATAGAAAAAGGGGCATTAATGGTTTTATAACAATTGAGTCCGTCTACTTGGGTCTGGCACGCTTTGCTACTACAGCGATTGTGATGCCTTGGTCTCGTCTTTTTTTTGTAGTAGTAGTATATTTGTATACTTGTATAAGTGTATAGTACAATAGTTCATCACATGTCTTGTGATCGGTATGAGTTAATACCATTAATGCAGTTGTTGATCGGTTTCAAGGAAACTGGAAACTCAGTACTGCTCAGGGGAAAGTCTAAAAATAAGTCTTGTGATTTCTCTTTGGGCAGGAGCCTGAGAAAAAGTCCTGTCATCAGGGTTTATCATCTCAGTCTGGATGAGAAATGTATAAAGCCTCCATTACAAAGTGGACTCGTGGAGTTTGAAAGCCCTCGGAGGCAAATTTATGATTGTGGGCTGTAGAAAATAAATTGAATTGACAAATTCAATTTACCAGGCAGGGACTAAAGAAAATATACTATTAGTTCCTCTGTAGGACATGTAGGTTTAAGCCAAAGGACAAAGTCCTGGAAGATGCAGTATAAAGAGCACGGATGGGTGCATGATCCACGCTGCCCCACTGATCAACAAAGAGTAAGGATGTGGCGACTAAATTGCCTCATAAAAAAAATCTGCTTTTTATGAAGAAGGAAATGAGGCTACGCATTCGTTAGACTTCAGGGGAACACACACGACATTTTGGTGAGCAAACACTGAGAGTATTTGTAGCATGGAAACACTAAAGGACCAACTCCCTGGAGTACGTCTTTTAAAGGTCGAGGTCCCTGAAGCAATATTGACCAAAATTGACCTCACTTCCTTCAAGCTCCACACAGGTGTTTTCAGCCAATATTCAGTTCATTTTCAAGTTGAGCAAAGGGATAATGAACCAAAAAAAAACTGAAAACACCTGTTCTGAGGCTTTAAATCTTTCCATTTAAAATTGTACAAAATATTTAAGGAATTTGTTGATTGCCTTTTGTGTTTTCCAACTCCTAATGTGTTTTACAGCAGTTACAAAGCTATAAATACCGATGTAAACAAAAGAGCATAAAAAACAACAACAATCTTTTTGTCCGGAGTCTCTCCTCAGAGACTTTTAAATGAATTTGAAATGACAGCTAGTTCCAGTGACGTGTTTGGAGTCGCTGTTTATAATTGGTTTGGAAAATACTATGAATTGATTTTTTTGGTTGTTGGTGCAAAAAGGAAGATTTGTGCAGTCAATGGGAAGGCCCAGCTAGTTACTAAAAAATGGTTTAATGTAATAATATCATATGTAATTAAAGTAAAGACACAAAAATAACTTAACATTAACTTTTTTACATTCTTTTAGGACGTTATAATAATATTTCAGTCTTATTATTTGTATTATTCATCCAGAAGTAAGAGAGTCTGCGCCCCTGGATGCTTCTCAAAATGATTCCAGTAATGAGTGTCACTTGCTTCCTGCATCTGTACACCTTCTTACTTCTCCATCTACTCACCGCCTGTAGGCCCGGAGGGAAGCTGTAGATGATGCAGATGCACCCATGTCCTTCATAACCAGGAAGTTCCAGATCGGAATCCCGCTCTACGATCATTGTACCATTAGCAGGCTGGTTCCCGATCAACTGGCCGTACACCAGCCTGCACACCGGACACGCTTTCTTCACCTTGAAGGCTTGTTCCAGACAGGAGCGACAGAACGAATGGCCACACCTCTCCAAGGTGGTCTTCTCCACTACGTCGCCCATGCAGATGGAACAAGTGCTGTTGTCCTCTGCCTCGCTACGGGAAGGCAGGCCGGATTCCGTGGCCTTCCTCTGGGCGGCCTCGTGGAGCGCGGCGCAGGCCTCCTCGTCGGCCGGCTTCCTGAACCTGAGCTGCTGCCTCTGGGAGCGCCGGGGCTGCGGAGCCGGAGGCTGAAGCAAGCTCCCCTCTCCGTTTGGCTCCAGGACTCCCACCAAGGGCAGCAGGGCCCTCTTCCTCTTGGGTCCCCCTTCCTGTTTGCTCATTTCTTTGCGGGCACAGCGGCACAAGTCGATGAAGGCTTTGCGCGTCTCGCTGGAGATGGGTCCATCCATCGCCGCGGCTCCCCCGTTCCTGGAGCCCTCGACCGGCTGCAGCCTCACGGCGCAGCAGCCCCCCCTCTCCCCGCGCCGGATGATACCAGCACTCATCCCCTGCCTGTGCTGGAAGTCGACGAGCCAGGGCCGCCCAGCTGCAGCCAGGTAATCCCACACCGCCTGTGAAACCAGCAACTCATCACTGCCCTGGCCGGCGCGCGCACTCATCTCATCAGAGGAAACTGCACAGGAGGAGAGGCAGAGTCATCAGCACTACAGCAACTACGTGGATACAAAAACACAATTGATCGTTTCATGTTTTTAATCGATGCGGCCTAATGGCCCGGGCATCGCAAAGCAAACACGTGTTACATGTTAGTAGTTTCAGGTGCATGACAAAGTACATCCGACATCACGAGCAGCAAAAACAAAAACACACACACACACACACACAACAGGCGCTAATCGCTGAGGACGGATCAGCTGTTTCGGATTCAAACTGTAAACAAAGAACCCGACGCGAGTCCGCGCACACGCGACACTTCCCGACGGCCGACGCGTTACCTTGTGATCCCATAAAGCTCTTCAATGGCGAATGAAGCGTCCCGTTGAGCAGAAGGAGAAGGAGCGAGGAAGACGACCCGAAGGACCCGAGCCGACGTTATCTCAGCTGCTCGGCGACATCTCCCGACTGAGCCGCGGGACCGGGAGGGGGGTGAGGTGTGGGTGAGGGGGGGGGGGGGGGGTCAGGAATTTTGCAGCATTAGCTAAGAATTGGACGTATTTTGCGTGAACGCCTGAGCTGGGCGATCGCCGGGGACTTGGTTTACCTCGCAGCCCCCTTTTTTTGGCGGGGAGGATCCGCGCGGATTAGAGAGCTCCGCGCCTCATCGCGGGAGGGCTCCGCTATCTGACTGCGGCTTATCCGTGGATCGTTACTCCCTCTGTAGTCCAGGGATGACAGCTGGTGTCTCCTTTCCGGGTTTTCACAGGCCTCACGCTCCTGGGCGAGATCGGCTGAGTCTGGCCGCCTCGTACGTCCTTGGGCTCGGCGGCGAATCGCGCTCGTCGTCCGGCTGCGCCCTCGCTACCTGCGCGGCGGCTCCGGCCGGCCGGACGCTCCGCGCGCTCTCCTCATGGCGAGTCCGGTTCTCCGCTTGAAGACGGCGTCCTCCCCGTTGACTGTGCAGGAGGCAACACAGCCTCCCCATTTATGAGAGGACCGGGACCTGCGAGGACGGGGAAAAAAAAGGAAAAGTGCAACCAGGAAGCTCGTCACTGGGCTGCTGTGATTGGCTGGCAAATGGTGGTTTATTCAGATTTTTTTTTTTGTTGGTTTCTTTTTGCTTCTTCCTCTTCATGCTGTGAGTGAATCATACTTTTGTCGTGATTAACAAAGCACTTGATACAGGACTACACACAAGAGTGCAGCCCACGCGCCATGCAGGCGATACCCACTCATCCAGGGATGAAGCAGATGAAGCTGTCCCTCAGGAGACACCGACAGGGGGGCTGCAATTGTCCCATCATTTTACCATAATATAGGGATTGGTTCAAGTTTTGTCATTTTTTATTCGACCACACATTTGATTAATACATCATTTTTGGTTCTGCACATTTCAACCTATACACTCAATCGGCCACAAGTTGATTGTTATTTCAGTTTCCTTTGTTTCTTACTACCTTCACGCGTATCCTTATTTATGTCGTTCCTTGATTTGTGACTTTGAGTGGGCTGTTCAAAGAACGTGGCAAACAAAGCCTGCTTTGCACTGGCTGCAGGGCTGTACACCTGGGTGGAAAGATATGAGAACTGTTGATTAAAAATAATATACGGTCAGATTCCGTCGCTGATCCAGATAAAAACAATAACACAATAACAATCAGAAGATGGGGGTGTTGACTGAGCTTCTCAGGGAGAACAAAGGGCCGTGACATAAGCACAGAGGGTGAGTAGCGCCTGGGAACCCGTGCAGCACACAGGTGGGTGGAAGTAGTTGCACACAGGTTTTAACAGGAAACAACAGATGTACCTCACAGAGGTAAATCTAAATAAGTTTCCATCTGTGACATGACAGGAAGGAATACGCAAAGGCACCATGAAGGAGGATGATGTTATATTTCTTCCTGTAAACATACATGTTCTCTGCACCCGTCTGTATGAGTAAGCTCTCATCAACCCCGTAGAACTCAGTGAATCGTTGTTATTCTTGTAGGTGTCTTACATGTTGATTGGTTTTGCTGTCACGGGGAATTTGGAACATTTAAAAATCCCTAATGGTCTAATCCCTAATGGTCTACAGCTAGAGCAAAACTTAGCAGCCAGGCTTTCACTGAACTCAAGCTCCGATCTGCCTCCCCTTGTGGTTTGGTTTTTGGATTTGTGGGGGGTGACGATTGGCCCCGGCTGTCCGGGCCCATGCATGTTGGATCATCCCGCAACGGGAGCTTTAGACCAGCAGCATCTCGCTACTCACAAGGTCGTAATACTCGGTGCTGAAATATATAGAAGGAAGATAAACACACTAAAACAGGGGGCGGGGGCCTCCGCTCAACAACTAAGTGCCGGTCACCACAAGATTATAAACTGACGCACAAACATCTTATCAGATGACCCAGAGCACAATGTGCCTCTGTGAGAAAGGGCACCGACTCGCTGTTGTCTGACTAGTATTGTGAAACATTTAAGATTTCTGAACATTCCTGTTTATATTGTTGTATATTACAACAAAGAAAAAGAACACATTGAACCAATTCTAATTGAATGTTTGTACCCTAAGCTAAAATGTCACATAAATTGCCCTTTTATATTTGTTTAAAGCAGGATGTGCCCACCGGCCGAACGAGTAGTCGCTGTAACTAAACGGAACAACAGTCGATGTGAAGGAAACAACGAGCCTCTCATGTCTCAGAAGGAGGAAGTCGTCACAAGCACATTCTTGGTGATTACCTTACAGGGGTCAGCCTGGGTTGCTTTGGAATGAAATTAAACTAGTAAGCAAGGATCGCTAATTAGCATTAGCATTAGTTGGTCGGTCATCTCCCGCGGTCGACCGCGCATGCGTGATGTCATTTTTTTAAGCGATGGCGATCTACTGATACTGCCTTCGACCAGTCGATCAACCTATTGGGCAGCGATGGCCTCATTCATGAAAATTTTTTTTTTTTAAAGTTTTTGACAATACAGATAACTTTTATTTACATCTTATCGCCATTCCCAACTAATAACTCATTACGGTTTCATAATCCGGTGTCAGAATTTTATTCAATGGCCGCTGAGGGCTCATTATGCTCCAATTTGCCCAGATCGCGTTTGTCTAGGGGAGGCTTGGGGGACGAACACAGAACAGTAAGGTTGAGAAATTCACATGAGAACTGATGTGTAATTTACACAATTCATTAATGTTGTTTTTACTCCAATCTTAATTTATAACAGAAGCAGGTACACAAAGTGGGGCAGGTTGGGACCGAAGTTTGATCCAAACAAAAGAAAGTGAAACAACAAAACTAGGCCTTTCTACCCACCTCCGGAAACTCATTTCTTACAAAATACAGAGGAGGCATCAACCAATAACTTAGTGTTTCTAAACAGCAATCCACTACATTAAAATAGCAACAGGGTAGCCCAGGTTCACCTGGTCCTCAACCTCCCACCGCAAACCGTCACAACTTCCAACATACACATTCAGTGAAACGAATCTCAGAGCTCGGCCTTCCTCCTTTTATTTCTCGAGCCCCGCCCAGTTGATTGACCGGCACAGGTGGAACACAATCACCGGGATTGCACCTGGAAAGACAGAGAGCCACCAAGACAAGAGGGGGACAGAGAAATCCAAAGACAGGACGGGGGGGAGGTGTATTTCTCCAGCCCGACACGTAACGGTGCTCTAGAAATTGTCTAGTCATGCAGCATCTACCCATCGCTGCTGAAGTCCTCACATACTAAGTACAGACGGCAGCCACAAACAGCTCGTCCCCGTTTACTGTTGCCCAATTCAACATTAGTGAGAACATAATATCTAAATGTATCTATTGGTATCTGAGGTGATTTATGGTTATTTTCCCATCATTTTTCTGACATCAATTTAAATGAGTCAGTTCTTTCAATCGACTCTGAAATCCATTTTTCAAATAGATGTTGGTGAACGAATATTTTATCTTCATACACAGACTACTTTGTCCTTGAGTTGGAGATCAGATTAAAGTGTGTCAAAGCGTGACGCTATTTGGAGGCAGTCAATTCAAAGTGAATTAGCCTTAATGAAGCCTCTCTTTTTTTTACATATTACATCAGATGAGTGTTACATGAATGTAGGACATCCAGCTTTGAATCAGACCCCACAGCTGCGGTCACGATATCCCAGAGGTTGTTAAATTATTCACCGGTTATGGAGCAGCTGCAGGATTTGTGTCTTGTGTGTGCTGACATCAACTGGTCTCTTTGCTGAGGTAGAATGTACCAAATAAAACCTTGTGAAGTAGAGAGCTGGAAAGTCATGGAAACCTTCGGTATCTGAAGAAATAGTGCGTTATAAGGGAGATAATGTTGATGTACAACTGTAAGATTACCAACAAAATCATAGTTAGGTTTGCTTGTGGTTGTTGTACACATGTTAAATATCCAGTTACACACAATTATCATAATCATAATGATCCATAGCTTACATGGCTTATAACATTGAACATGATGATTATGTTGTCGGAGCTTCACGTCCCTCTATGAGCTGAAATTGGGAGTGAGCAGTTACACTGTGCTCTCTAACGACAGCAATTCTTGCCAACAAAAAGCTCCCGTATGCCAACTACCTGCATCCTCTCATCTCCCAAATGTATTTTTCCTTTCCATTATTTTGGCTCCAGCACTGGTCCTTGAGTGCAAGTCTGGAACAAAGTCGTCAGAGGCGGAAAGAAAGATGGATGATTTCTTTGTCACCACTAACTGATTCACTAAACCATCCTCTGTATGTGTAATTCGCCTCTCCTGTCCAGGTCAAACACCTATTCTTTCAGGTATTTTCAACATCCTCTCTGACATCATTGTACCCCACGCAGTCAGAAACGCCACAACATTGTTATGCCAGCTGCTCTCTCTTCTCCTGCCTACCTGATTTTGTTCACCAGCCCTATCGACAGTTGCCAAGCCTCATACTGGTGACACACAGTCCAAGTCTTTGAAGACGCTCTCCTAGTGAGCCTGTTTGTTTTAAAGGAATCTCTCAGTCGATCTCCATGTCTTTCTCTGCTGCGTGAGTGCTTTGGTCCGATAGGAAAATCACTTGCAATCAAACACCAGGACAGCAGATGCATCTGACAACCTCCACTCGTGTGGGGGACCGAAACCGATATCGCTAAGCTCGAGCTTCACAGTGATCTCATGGCAGAGAGCGACAAAGGGGCATCTGTTGATAAGCCGGCTGTGACAGGAGATGCTTTGGCCTCCACCACTGCATCTGTTCTGCTGTCCGTGCCCATGTTACCGTAAAAATCAGCATAATCTTTTTGAGGATAATTGGTGAACTGAAGCAACTCCGAACCTGTTGATTTATTTATTTTCTCTTTATGCTATAACTGTTAAAACAACCTATCATGGCGAGCTACATTTTCTGCCTAACAGCCTTTTTTTTTGGAGCAACTCAACTTTGATTTGCATATATATATATATATATATATATATATATATCATAAGAAGTAAGTTATAATATTTTGATTGGTAAATGCTTCGCAGTGTGATAACTTCTAGAATTGTCTCTGACGTCATTGGCCTGTGAAACCCCGTCACGAGAGTCGAAACCCCGCGATGTTTGGGAGGACCACGCCGTTCGCTTCTGTCTCGAGCGTTAACTGTTTAGGTGTCACTTGACGTCTCTGCCGGCCACCGCAGCTTCAAGTTGTAATTGTTGTCTAACGTTATATCGTTGAACGACGTGGGAGTTTAATTGCTGAAACAGTGGAGATGTAAGTTCGTCGTGTGCGGTCATTGCCGACCAGCCACAGGTCTTCGTAGTGTGTTAGTGAGGAACAACCGGCTAATATTGGCTAAACACGCGAGTTCGCCTCTGCGGTTACTGTCAGGAAGGACAGACGCGCCCCGCCGCTACACCAGCAAGGCAGCTAGCGACACTTCCCTCCGTGTAGCGGACATTTGCACCACAATCTCCCTGATATTCATACCGTAGCTTGTCGAATTTGCGCTGTCATTACGCGCTTTAGCTCCGTTATCGTTAGCTTGCAGGCTAACGTCAAGGAAGACCGGGGTGATGCTAGCTAATGTCAGCGATGGAAAGGTGTAGTGTCATCATTAGCCCGTTAGATTTTACTGCGACTAATATTAACTGAGGCCAATTTACACGCGCTTCTCAACGTTATACTGTAACGTAGCCCATGTTGTCGTCATCCATTTAACCTTCCCCCACCGGTTCAAATAACCATATAGTTTACTATTCTATTCTAATGATGAATAATGAGTGTGATTGAATGGTTCATGGTCCTCATCCCTTTCTACTCGTTGTCACCAGGCAGCCTGCAACAGCCAAGTGGTACGACAGACGAGACGCTGTTTTTGTAGACTTCTGCGTGGAGGACAGTAAAAATGTGAAAGTAAATTTTGAAAACTCCAAATTTGATTTTGGGTAAGTTGCATTAATATGACATGCAATGTTCCTGAGCATTTCTGGTATTTTCATCAAAATGATGAGCTCTAAGATGCATTTTTGGATCTGGTCTGTTGTTTAATCTACAAACAGAATGAACAAGACCCAAAGATCTCACAGCCTCTTTTATTTTTACCTTACAGCTGTGTCGGTGGAACAGATAATATCAAACAACAGAATACAGTGGACCTTTTTGGGGAGATTAACCCCAAAGTATGTCTGTCATCAGTTCACATAATTGCAGCTTTACCACATGATTTATTTATTTGTAGTTTTCATCAGACCTTTTTTCTTCTTCTTAGGACTCCAAATACAGACGAACTGACCGGTCTGTATTGGTATGTTTACGAAAAGTAGAGCCTGGGAAGGCATGGCCGCGACTTACTAAAGACAAGACAAAGGTAATTTTCCCAGATTAATCTAGACACTGCAATTCAACTAATGGTAATAATCCACCCAGCTGAGCGAATCAATTCATATCTGCATTGAAGAACAGCTGTAAATAATAGATTTAGATGTAATAGTTAAATATTGCTCAAACTTAAATAAGAATCTATCTTCTCTCAGTGCAACTGGCTGAGTGTGGACTTTAATAATTGGAAAGACTGGGAGGATGACTCAGACGAGGATCTGTCAAGTTTTGACAAATTCTCCGAGGTAAGCATGTTGAACGTGCACCATGCCAAGTTGTGAGTATGTCCGGTTAATGAAGTGCTGATTTAATTATATTGATCACCTGTACTTTCCCTTCAGATGATGAATACAATGGGAAGGGATGATGTACCTGATTTTGATGGTGCAGGAGAAGAGGTATGATCTTATTCCTCTACTGGCAACAGCCGTTGCAGGACACTTTGTTATCTGGTTGGACGCACACACGGCCCATGCTGATGAATGCAATATCTCAGCAAATTCTAGCACTAAAGTCCTCTGCATGCAGAGGGTGAACTGATTAGATTGTAAATCCAACGGTAAAGGTCTCTGTGACCTCACCAACAGGTTCACATTAAAAATATATATATTTTGACCTAGACTTCCACATAAAACGGTGAGGTGGTAACTTTAGTTTTTCTTTTGCAGCATGATTTTGAAAACAGCGATGATGAACGTAAGTAATATTCTCTTTGAGCTGTCATGTCATTTGTCATCAGTAGTCACTAGATCCAATAGTAATGTTAAAAGTATATCTATTAGAGATGTCTTAAGAAACAAATACAATGTTTGGGGAAAAGATGTTCGTCACAGTACTGACATGTTAGGAAGGGCTTGATTGTATGGGTCTATTTTTGAAGGAGAATTAGTTTAATTTAATCAGTGGTTTATGTTTTCCATAAAATTGCAATGCGGTCTGTCTAGTGTTGGTTTGGATATGAATGCTTGCAAATGTTTTTTTTTTCATTAGTATTTTCTTACTACCAAAAAGTCAACTATTCGGTTGAAATCTGTCTGACAAAAGTCACATTTTTCATTAATTTCTTCTTTCAGAAATGCCTGCCCTTGAGTAAATACAAATAGGTGCCACGTCAATGAGTTGTTGAAGAGACCTCCGCTCCTTAATGAAGTGACTGTTGAATACACAGACATGCACAGAGATCCATGGTGACATAAAGTGCTGTTCTGTTCTGCATGGACAATTCTGTTCTACTGAAAATGTTCTTGTTTGTTGACTTAAATGACTGTACTGGGATGCACTGATGTCTTACACCTTTTTTCTTTTTTGCAATCACAGATATATTGAACGTTGTGATTTCTAACAAAGAAAATGAAATGCTCTAAATGCCTATTTTCCAAAAAAGTAGAATTTTATTAATGACCATTTTCCCCTTTTAACGTTTGTTTTGTTAATTTAGCAAGCAGGAGTTCTGCTGGAAATGTGTTTTTTTATGTTTGCCAAGTTTTTGATATTCCAACATTTAAAATAAACATGCTTGTGCTCATAATTTAAAGTTTATTTTCCGATTTATGATACCTCCATTAAGGTGAGTTAGTGTCTCTATGCCAGTGTACAAATGATTGTAGCAGGTAAACAGATTACATGTCTTCCACTGGCATACTGACGTCTCCCAAGAGTTTCCCTCAAATGTTAAATGAAGTTTCTAAATGTTTGTCAATTGTATACACCAAAGCTATGCTTTGGAGGTGTTTGTGTTTGATTCAACACATGTTCATCTTTTGATGCTGTGTGAGTTTGGGTATACATTTTTAATAAATTCTTTCAGACTGTTGAATGAAATGCTACATAATTCAAACATCACTTACGACAAGGTTGTTATTCACCTGAAATCATTCATTCCTTAATTGTTCTGGTTAGAAAAAAAAAATCCATCTTTGTAGAACACAACCTTTGATTCCCCTCTAAGCACTTTGCTAAATACCCACCTGACCTGTCCGTCTCGCTCATGTATTAACTTTGGCTGTAAGCGAGCGTAAGTGTCACCTGATTGAAAACGTGTCGAGGAAGGAGTTTCTTCATAGTCTCTATAGAAAGGGAGAACCATTATGATTTAATACTTTTACAGGAATCTCCACAAATGAGCTTATGAATTAAGACGAACTATAAAAACTGAACCCATCCTTCAACCGGTTCCTGGGGAACGTGATTCTGTACTTTTTAGTGCATTTGTTTCACAGCATTCTGCTCTCCCTTCTGACGTCACTGGGTTCTTCAGTAGAGCGCAGAGATTCCTTAAACCTGTAGAGTCACTTTTTTGTGTGTTCCTGGTTTACGAGGTTTTCATGACATGGCAACTGCTGCGCATACTTTCATTACAAGTAATCTGCAAAGATGCAGTGTTAAGACAAATGATCTCATCTGTAGAGGCCATAAATTATTCATGGGCTCGTAACGTTAGAAAAGTTACTCTAGAAAATGGATCATCTGAACCAAGTAGAAAACAAATCCCTGGTGAGGACATTTAATCGGCATCTGTGAGGTCGAATAAATGAATACTTGATGTGTGAGTCCTTAATCTCGTGGCCTGCAATACACGGCGTCCCCACTGTGTGGTGAGCGCAGGCCGTCCCCTGCGTGAGTCGTTGTGTACACGTCAGCAGTCTGGGGCCGGGGAACAGGAAAATACAATGCTAGCACCTTTTCAACATCACTGTCCAATTAAGCTGGGTTCAACTTAACAAAAGGCGGCTTACCACAGACCGAGGGAGCCGAGAAGGAAATAATACTCATCACAATAGAGGTGCACCAACTGGCAAACAAATATACTGTCAGAATCAGAAGAAAAGAATCAACGCTTTAACCCCACCCACCCCAAAAATATGATGGTGCTATTATTCGCTCACATTTTTTTCAAAGTTTGGGCTGGAAATTAACATTAAAAGTCTGCTGTGAGTTTGATGAGATCACATCAATAGAGAAATCCCAATCGCAACTTCCAGAGTGACATCCGAGTCTTTAGACGGATACAAATGTCTGCTGGCTGTATTTGCACATCCTTCATCCAACACAACTCTCCGGAGTGTGATTGCAGAGGAAACTACATATATCCACTCTGGACAAGACAAACAGATCATAGAAACCAGGCGAAACTGTTACTGCCAGCGTTTTCTCTCTATGCGATGAAAGGAGAAAAGCAGTGAGCTCAGCATAAACCTTTCAGAGGGCTGCAGGCCGTCCCTCTGACTGCCCCGGTCAGCATGATGCTCCAGTGCAGAAGCTCAATGCCAGGTCTGGTCTCTCCTCTTCCTCCCCAACCGTGGATTTTCCACCGCTTTATCCAACCTGAGCCTCCAAACCCGCCCATCACACACACACACAAAGTAAAGCTGTGCCTAATCAGTTCTGCTGCCACATATCTTATTTGTACCAATCCGGAGCACAAGTGGAGACATCGCTCACGCTTTGGTGATCCTCGCTTAGAGTGAATGTCAATGGCACAATGTACAGCATGAGACAATAAAAAGAAAATTGTGGAAAAAAAATCGGACAAAAAAATGACATTATTCTGTGCTTGAAAGATTTCCGTTTTAGAGGAAATCAACTAGAACTCCCACTGCACTCAAGTTCTTTCTAGCACACATTATTTTTAATTAAATCTCCTTTTTATCCTTTATTTATCCCTAGCCCATATCCTTCAGTTAAGTACTAAATGTATAAATTGAAGATGCCGTTTTCCTTGCACCATGTTATTTGTCTTCTTGTCTATTGTCTCATTGTCTTACTGTCAAATGTTATGCACCAACCGCCATATCAAATCTCTTGTATGTCTGTATGTGTAACATACATGTTCCTGATTCCTGACATCCCCACTGCCTTTCTATTTACAAGTTTGAAGGTCAGCACCTCAACCAAGCTAATCATCCAATGAATGTATTTCAATTAATGCTCCACCACCACGAGTAAAACAACACTTGAAAGCCCCAAGCAGAAATGAAAAATGTGTTGTACTATTTCTTTACTTCTCCTAGTGTGCGTTCAAGTCATGATTTATTTTAAATAACCACTCCAACTGCAGAATATTCAATTTCAAAAGTGTTTTTTTGTGTGAGCAAGTCAAAGTTATCATCAATGACCATTTGACTATTTCTGGGCCATGTAAACTTCAGAATCAGATTAATTTACACAATGAGCAGACATATGCAGGTCTAAGCAGGAGAAGGGTTAAATGAATTTGTTTTGATTTGTGGTATTGTTTGCTGGCCCCTCCCCTGGGCCCAGCGGGGCTGCTGTGGCCCCTGGGGTGTTATAAAAAGGCCTCCGAGCTCCCCCTGCTCTGGTAAAGAGGCTGAATGTCTGCGGGACATACTCAACGTTTGTCTATCCATGTTCCTCGACTAACAACCAGCAGGGTTGGCACTTAGACTGGCCTTTTGCTCCCCGAAGGAGCTCTCTATGAAAGAAATCCAAATTCAGAGCTACAGTCTGTTTACAGTTGCCACTTTTTACCATTTGCTCCGTGTCCTTTTTTTGGTTAACGCACACCCTTTTTCGTGGAGAAACAGAATCTCATTTTAGTTGCTTAGTTATTTTCTTTTATTGACTTTTTTTTTAATCCCTCCTTTGTTTAGAAGTTGCTTTTTTACCTTCTTTCACCATGTGGGAGTTCAAGTCCATGTCCTTCTGGCGGGCTGTGTTTGCCGAGTTCTATGGTACGATGTTCTTTGTGTTCTTCGGGCTGGGGGCGGCCCTCCGTTGGACCACGGGGCCCCACAACGTTCTCCATGTGGCCTTCTGCTTCGGGCTGGCGGCCGCCACCCTCATCCAGTCCATCGGCCACATCAGCGGGGGACACATCAACCCAGCTGTTACCTTTGCCTACCTGATCGGCTCTCAGATGTCTCTGTTCCGCGCCTTCTTCTACATCGTGGCCCAGTGTCTTGGAGCACTGGCCGGCGCTGCTGTGCTCTACGGGGTCACGCCCACCAACATGAGAGGAAACCTGGCCCTTAACACGGTAAGACAACCCGGATGATAGTTCATCATTGAACACGCTGACTTTGTACGGATTAAAGAACATAGCTGCCAATTCTGGTTTAAAGAGCAACATACATTTTACATTCACGAAGGTGCGTTTTTAATTGATTGGCTCACATCATGAATCTCATCCTCCTTCCATCTTTCAGCTGCAGCCCGGCATCAGCCTCGGCATGGCCACCACCATGGAGGTCTTCCTCACCCTGCAGCTCGTTGTCTGTGTCTTCGCTGTGACTGATGAGAGGCGCAATGGGCGCCTGGGCTCTGCCGCCCTGGCCATTGGCTTCTCCGTGCTCGTGGGGCATCTTCTCGGGGTAAAAAATGGGAAACTACGGGAAATCTGAATCATTCAAAATTCGCACCACACTATCAGGTCACACATACACATTGCCGGTCTTAACCCTGAGCTACCCCATGTCTTTCACTTAGATGTACTACACTGGAGCCGGAATGAACCCAGCCAGGTCTTTCGCCCCTGCCGTCCTGGTCAGGAATTTCGTCAACCACTGGGTAAGACGATTCCATCCGTGAATGTTGTTAGACCTTCAGATTCATGCGCACCATGTTAATGTGACATGTTCAAACTCTGAACGCATTTGGCTCATTGTCCTCTCGGTTTGCTCCAGGTGTACTGGGTGGGTCCCATGATTGGTGGTGCCCTGGGTGCTCTGCTGTATGACTTCATGCTGTTCCCCCGTGTCCGCGGCCTCTCCGAGAGGCTCGCCACACTCAAGGGCATCAGGCCATCAGAGGCTGAGGGCCAGCAGGAGACCAGGGGGGAGCCCATTGAGCTCAAGACACAGGCCCTATAAGCCCGGACGAGAAGATGACGCCCCCCCATCCACCCCCCCCCCTCCCCTCAGTTATCGGCTCATCCTCAACCAACCCAGAACGTATCTCCTCCTCGCATCCACACTTACTAACACAGATCCCAACCACCTTTGCTATCCTGGGTCTGAATCCAGAACCGGACCTACCAAATTACAGAGAAGGGGAAACCGCGGCCTCCCCCACCATTTTGCCTAATTTTACCTCTACCCTAACCTTCCTCCTCCTCCTTCCCCTTGGACTGTGGGACGAAGATGGAGGGTTAGCAGAAGACTTGCCCCTGAAGGCAGCACCCTGTGGCCTGCGCTGTGGGGAGTCAGCCCCTCCTGGCTGACCAGGTGGCTATAACTGCTCAGGACAGGGGCCTCTCGCTATCTTTCTTTCAATTTCTCTCTTTTTCTATTTTTCGCCTTAACTTGTAGTCCGCTAGGAGTGAAACTGCAGTAGATTAGAGGACTTCTGCATGCTTTTCCATTTTGATCCGGTGTGATCATCGCCCTTTGTTAAGTTTAGTATATTAAACTTTGGGTAAAATCACATGTCCGTATTGTATTTTACCAGTATTTATTTGGCTCAAATTTTTTAGTTTAATGTATTTGTGTGGGACAGAGAGTGGGTGTGCATGCATGTATCTGTGCATGCGTATGCTTGTTTTTATCGATCAATTTTATTTTTTCTGTTTTTATTGCCACAATCCTGTCTGTATCATTTATTTTCATTTTTACCATACAAGCATATTTTAAGGAAATAAGTGGCCTTTCCCACGCCCCCACTGGTACTGCAAAAGTTCAGCAGGATCTACTTTTAGAGCATCCCCTCTTTTATATCATAGTTTATGCCTTTGAGTCTTTCAGCCTAATTCCTTCACACATGGTGTCTCATATAGTGACGCACACACACGTTGATATTTATATTAAAATAAACACAAAGGACAAAACTATCTGGTCTTTTCTGAGCTCAGTCTTCAAGTTACGATTACAAACACTTGAAGTGGTATATTTGCAGAACTTATACCCATTGCATCATAAGTGGAAAATCTGCGGGTTTGTACCACATTTAGACAACGTAGCTTAGAAAGTGATTTTGTTTTGTACATTTTAAATGACTTTTCTGACATTAGCTTTGCTTTTAGGGCAGCGCTTATCACAGATTTGATGTACAGGCGTGTGATAGTTGGGTTGCTTTTAGTTTTGCGTGTCTGCCATGGAAAAACACGGAATGCAAGCCTGACAAGCTGTCACAAGTGTTTTATAGTTGAATCGTGTTGTTTGACGCGACTGGAGGGTCTCATCAACTCATGTTTAGAAATGAAAGTGCATGAGGTGTGGTGGCTTGTTGCTGGTGGCTTCTCTTTTATGTGCTGAGCTGGATGGCTCTTTGAGAATACGATTTTTTTGGAAGCCTCTCTGACATTCGGGTGGACGAGAGAAGAGTCACCGGGAGGTTTAGTGTGTTTGTACAGGGCGATAAATATACACCTTTATTTTCATACAATCTACACAAGAGAGAATTGACTTTGGAGGTCTACATTTGCCTGGCGGTCCCCCTCTCTTCCATCCCTCTTTTATCCCTTTGTTTACTAGGCAGCCATTGGTTCTGCTCCTATGAGGGGACATCTAAAGGGATGGAGGGAAGGGGACGGGGCGCTGATAGCAAATTTCAATGGAGCATTATTGAACCAGAGATGTGAAATGGTTCTCTTTCTGCCTCCTCTACATAATCATTTTCAGTGTGATTTCCCTGGCAGTGGTTGAGTAGAAATTACATTTACAAGCTTTGTGATGTACAGTGTAAAGTTTCCTTTTTTTTATGATTTCATAATTATTGAAACTGGATGGATAGGAAATATAATATGCTAGTTATGTAATGTTTCCTCTTTGGCTGATTATAGAAGTGATGTAAATTATGCTATTTACCAATATGCTTTCATTCAATGGACAGCCTTCATGGTACATACTTCCCAATCAACATACCATTGATTTATTACTTTTATATGTCAAGAAATCAGAGAATCCTTATGTTTCCAATCATTTCTTTGTCTCTTTTCTTTAAGAACGACCGTCAAAAAACATGTGATTTAAATAGATGGTTTCAAACGGGACGGGTACATTTGCATCCTTCAAAAAAGCAACGGCGCGTCCGTGAACTAAATCCAAAACCATTCATGTAAACATTTGTAAATTAGTGGGTGTTAAGATATTTCCAAAATCAGCGGTGGTATCTGTCAAGCTTGGCTGTCAGGAGATATATCGCTTCTTGTAAATAAATTCACAAAAATATTTAATATTTTACAAAAAGAACAGATTTTATTTGTCCCCACAGTGTAAAGATATATGATTGTAGTAGTAACCTGAGTGTGATTTATTCAAGAGAATGTACAAGACATAAAACATACTTGCAGCATAGTGAATCCAACCCACAAATATATTACTACATGCATAAAACTAACAGTGATGGCAGGTAGTGCAAAGATTCTCATGAAACCCAAAGTTGATTAATTAGGAAGATGGATTTTGATGTACGTGCAGCTGTGGATGTAATGGCAAAATTATTTGTGGAGCTCCCACAAGGCAAAGATACTGCACCTCCTTTACCTTGTTATGTGTTCCTTTTGACTACAAAGCTAATTATCTTCACTTATATCCCTTTTCTTTATCAACTGGCACTTTAGCATATTATGTGAGACTCCATATATCAATAATAATAATGTAACATTAGAGAACTTCCGTAAGAATAAAGGTATGGAAATATACTGTTGATCATTTAGGCTACTTTCTCTATATTTATTAGTTGTATTACTCCATAGACTGCAGACATTCCAATAATTGTGTTGCATTGGGACTATGAGTTGGACTTGAAGGAGGAAGAGAAAAGAGCAACAAGCTTTAACAAGTACTGACAAAGATTTTTTTTTTAAATACACCCAATTGAGCCTTTAATGTAGCTTAATAATCTTAAGATTAATATTTTTCTTCCAATTAAAAGTCACACTATATTGCCAAAGGGCAGTAATAACACAATGGCAGTTGTGCCTTTGCCCCATGCACTGACAAAATACTGCAATATTCATGTATTTGAAATAAAGGAACTGGGGGTCTTTTTTGGACATTCCTCCAAACATTCTGTATTAAGCTACTGCTAATTCAAACTGGACACATTTTTACCGCTGTGGCTTCACATTTAAAGCATTTAACTTGCCAAAAACAAGTCGACTTTTATTAATAATCAGTTATAGGGCATTAAACCTTTAACGTAAGTGAGCTTGACACTGACTATCATTATCAGTCAAAAGTTCATCTGCGAAACAAGCTCAGTGTCATTTTGACAGCCGATGACTTTTAAATATTGTACTAATGAAAGAAGAATGAGGAGCTGTTAGATGTATGCCTGAAAGCCCCGGTATTCTGGCACCAATAGGGTATCAGCAAATTGACCGCAGAGGTTACAAGATTTTCACCCTAAGAAGTCAGATGTAAAATGGGCAGCTCAAACTGCCATCATCATCACCACTTTTGGCATCTGCTATTTTAAGTGTCAATCTATATGGCTTATAGTTCCTTCCATATTCCTAATCCCCATTATATATACAACTGGTTAGGCTCATGAACACTGGCTGTGAGGTGTTTACTGTTATTGTGAGATTGAGTGTATGACATGCTGTAGCTGATGCTTAGCCATCATAAAGGTTGTATACAATAGAAGAAAAGATAGGCTTTCCTCTTCAAACACAGACACATTTGTTTTTCTCAAAAGTAGAGAAATCTGTTGATGAGCGATGAAAGTGAAGGAAAACGTCTGTTCAACCAATAGCACTCCTTTCATATGAAGATAAGACGGACGACTTTGGCTCCGGTCTCTTTTCAGTGCTTTGTACTCCTTTACAACTTTAACGGGAAATCCTCTTCTCTTAGGTACTGAAAGTCTGGAGGATTTGCTCAAGGTCCATATCATCATCAGTCCTAGAAGACAGACACATACACACAATGCTTAGGTTGTTAAGAAGCTATCTGGTCAAATCAAAAGCCTCATTATTTACACATTTTGATCTCAAGAAATACCTGATATTATTTAGAAAGGCCACATTACAATGGGATTTTATCAGACAAGGTACCAGTGTGTTTTTTTAGGCAGCCATATTGATGTACATTTGACTTTCTGTTTAGTATAAACAGAACTTTAGTGTAATTTGAGTTCTATCTAATGAGCTGTTGCTGCACGAGGATGATGAAACACTGTACACCTAATGAGCAGACTAAACCTGTATAACACCGTTCTCGTGTGCCCACTGATTTGCAGATAGGCAATGTTCAAACAGGATACCACATATTTTATGCTATGAAATACAATACAGCAGGTGCTTGTCATTTGATTAAACACAATTAGTCGAAAAACTTGTGGCAATAAGTATGATGAAGAAAAAATACTTACTTTTAATAGAAAAACATACATGAAACAGAATTATGTAGATGTGACGCTTACCCAGAGAAGCCACCAACACTGTGAGGGCTTCCAGGGAGGAGTGTAGCTGGAAGTGAGTCTGAGTTAGCCTCCCTGCAGACACACACACACATACACAAACGTGATCGGTTTCCTTCTAAATGAACTTTATGTATGTACTTTAACTGCATCCAAAGATGAAGAAGAAGTGTTTATTTTTAAAAGAGTCCCTTACGTGCCAACTTTGGTAAGGAGAGTCACAGGGATATAACCCCCGACGGGTGATGGTTGGGGCTCTAGATCAGACATCAGCATCAACAAAACTGTTGTTAGTTGTCCATTTTTACTTGAGCTTCAGACCATAAATCTGACACGAAGACAATTATATACCTGTGAAGTATTTTTTGAAAACGTCATGTTTTGGAAAATCTGGATACAGGTAAGTTATGTGGCTGATGTCCCGGATGCGGTCTCCAAGGCAACGGATCTCAAGGTCTCTCTTAGTGAAGGGCTGGATGTTCTGGATTTTCTGTCCTCCATCTAGTAGGAAAAAAATAGTTTGATGTGCCAGCGCTTGTGTGTGTGTGTGTGTGTGTGTGGGTGCGTGTGTGTGCGTGTTTGAGGGGGAGGCTGGCACTTCACAGTTATTACCACCCCAATACTTACTCTCAGAAGCGGACACATATGCAATTGTGATGCCTCCGATCTCCGAGTCACTAAACCGAAGCAAGAAAGTCCCGTTGGGCCTGTCTTTGAGAATCAGGTGTAGATGTTGCTTCCCAATGAAACCAAATATCAACCTAGTGCAACGAAAACGTCAACATTATTACAGGCTGTAGCAGATTACATCCAGTACTAAAATAGCATGAGTGTCGCCTCACCCTTCGCTCCAGTACTCCTTCAGGTGCTTCTTGGTCAGCTCCATCACTCCCTCAAACCACTGCCAGAAAGTGAAGGGTCGACCTGGGAGAACCTCCTGCAAGATTGAACCTTGGCTGTGAGACGGGGGGGGGTGGGATAGTTTGTGGATGTCTGTGAGAGGAACTACATCTGGGCGTACCTTATTAAACTGGGCCCAGGAAACCAAAATGTTGCTGAAGTCATCCGAAAAGTCAGGCTTATCAAATATCTTCTGGGCCAAGAAGTGCTGGTTGTATTGGTCCAGGTTGTGCTCCGTCATGACCTCAGAGGTAAATTTACTGTTGAGAGTACTGTACATCATCCTCCACGGCACGCGCTCCGGCACCAGAAATGGGACTCTGTCCTGATGACGACAACAAAGAGGCTGACATGATGCAATCACATGATTTAGATTTTACAATAATGTCAGAGAAGAAGTGAAAGTCAATGCATTTACTATAGACCACGTGAGACAATTACTGCCAAGATGAAGACTGACAAAGCAAAGAGAGCAACGAGCTCAAAGAGCTTTCTGTTAGTTGGTCATTAACGTGAGTCTGTGGCTCCCTTCCTACTTAACGTAGAAAACTTGTAAAGCTGCATACAATATTCTGTTTAATACATGCATCAGAAGTGTAATAAGTGAAGAATAGGTATTTATTTAGGTGAGCTGCCTGCTCATTTAGTATTTTTCATTGTGTTTTTGGTTTCAGATTTTGTCATTAAAGCTCGCCTTTTGTCTTATTTGCATTTTGGTCTATCCTTTTTAAACTTCTCTATTTCCTATAATATGGAAAACACAATTGAATCAAACTTTCATAGCAGGAACACTCCAGTTGGAACTGATTATAAACCATGGAACACAGTTGGTCTTGAGAGGCCACGTCTTTGTTCTGCTAGTTGGGGAATTTCACAACTTCATTTTGTCCGATGAATTCTGTTTGTGTTGCTCGCCACGCGGAAGGTTTATCGGCATTTAACCACACTGCGAACCGAGGGACTCTGGTTGGAATCGAGGATGTGGATGCTCAAGCGTAGTCAAACATTATGGACGTTTTTCAGATGTAAAATGTATAATGTAATGGGGCATGAAAGCAATAGCAGATGAATTCATAATTTTACACTTACTGGTTCGGAAAAAGCACAGTCCCAGATGATGGTGGCCAAAGCGTTGTTGTCCTGACTTCCATGAACAATGACGACCACCGGTAGTGAGATCATCTATAATGATGACATCATTTTAAGGTCATGTGACCACGTGGCTGTAAGCCCAAGTGTAATACTGCTGTTTCCATTTAAAAAAGCTTGGGTGCTGATGAATAGTATATAAGAACGTTGAATGAAACTGTTCAATATTATCAGAAAGCCAAAGTCAGTGCGTTTTGATTGAGCAAGCATGCAACAATTAGTTTAAGAACATTGACCAGACCTGTATCCTGTACGGAGTGTCACATCCTGTGATGGTGATCTCCGTCGAGAACAGAAGAGCAAATTTCTCTTCGGTCACAGATTCTGATCCCTTTCTGTCTGCTCTCTTGATCTTCTTGATGGACTGTTGCACACAAATTTAATTAGCTCAGACTTAACAATAAAATGAATTAGGCTGACCAATCTGGAGTGGTACATACCATATTCCTGAAGGTGGCACACGTGCTTTTACTGGATGTGTTATGTTCAAGGATGGCTGTATTGTTGATCAGTTCCCCAACATTATCACTGCATGTGACAAAAAGTTGTAATATTACTTTTTCTTTTGCATAAGAATATAGTATCTTCATTGCGCCATTTCTGAAGTATTATCTGATCATTTCAGCTTATCAGACACAAAGCAATGAACAATATGGTCAAGTATGTGTAACAACCTCACAAATACAAGTCGACTTGCACATATGAACATGACATTAATGTAAAAACATTTTTTAAGTATTTGGGGTTTTGAGGTTTTTAGTGTAGCCGATCTTTGTTTTAATAGCTTTCACATTATATAGTTACTTTAGATGCCATAAATATTGTGTTTTGATAAATTGGAATGGTTTTCCTCTTCCCGGACAGTGTGCAGTCCTGCATGTTTGTTGTGGTGTGTAAAACTCACCTAGGAACACCTCCCAGGTTCCTGGCCTGAATTTCATTAATGATTTGCGCCTTCAACAACACAGGCTTCCCAGGAGCAACTTTTTCCCCCAGAAGATATCGCACGGTTGTGGAGAACTTGGACTGAGTCTTAATGACCTGCGGGGGCTGCTTGTCCACTAAAAGAGAGCTGAAGGAGACATCAGTGAAGACGGCATCTTTCAAATGTAAAGGATGTATAAAGGTAAGTCATTTATGACGCTATCTGTAACGGAAACGTTTAGCTGAACAATATTTCTTTCTTTTGGAAATATAAATACACAGAAAAGAAAGCAGAGTGCTGTGCTACCTTTGAATCAGAACCTGCAGAAGTTTCCCCAGCCGCTCCTGAAGCTCCGGCATCGGTTCCCCGAGCAGCACCAACTCCTGTCTCAGCTTTCCATTTACGCCAAGCAACTGCTCACACCTAACCGAGAACATATATAAAGACAGTTAGTAAGTAAGAAGGAAAGTGAAAATATATACATTGAATGACATGTCATAATTCTTAATTCCGTTCAATATGACATGTTTATCAAGTTAGAATACAAGAATACAAGTTAATTATTACACCCAGAACCTTTTCACAAACCATGGTCGACTGAGTGCTGACTTTCTTTGGGCCTCAAAGCCAAGGAATCCCACAAAAAACTTGTCAACAGGACTTAAATAATAATAAACAATAAAAAGGCGTAATAGGTGGATTGGTGTGCACCTCACCAGGTCTGCAGGGTGTTGAGGTTGTCGTCAAATGGAAGTCCAATGGTGGCCTTGTGCTGGCCCCACCTCCACGCCTTCAGGCTGCCGATCAGGCGGGTCTGACACTGGTCAAGGCAGTCCACACACTCCTTCAGCAGCTGGAAACGCTTCTACGACAACCGGCATCCAAACATGTTACACCAACACACACAGATCGATCGCCGATCATGCACAAAAACACAGAAATATCTCCATAGGTAGACCTCATGAATTACCAATCAATGGTTGAATCCTCAGCCTGTACAAGTTATAAAATCGAAGCTTCTGAAATTCCCATAGCTCCCAATTGCTAATTTTGAATTTATTCATTTTTAATGATACCAGATAAAGTGCCGTTCCACAGAGACTGCTCTCCTTGCTGTCTCAGAGCAACTCCACACTGGTAGAGCCGCCACTCTCTCCTTTGTCCTCATCCTTCTGGACCTCTCCGCTGCATTAAACACAGTCAACCACCAGATCCTTATTTCCTCCCTTCAGGAACTTGGTGTCTCGGGCTCTGCTCTCTCCCTTCTCTCGTCCTACCTCGACGGCCGCCCCTACCAGGTAACCTGGCGAGGATCTGTGTTGGAACCTTGTCCTCTTACTACTGGAGTTCCTCAGGGTTCCGTCCTGGGTCCCCTCCACTTCTCGCTCTACACCAACTCTCTTGGCGCTGTCATTCGATGCCGATGACACCCAACTAATACTCTCCTTCCCTCACTCGGACCCGCAGGTGGCGGCACGGATCTCTGCCTGTCTGACTGACATCTCTCAGTGGATGTCCGCTTACCATCTGAAAATCAACCCCGACAAGACTGAACTACTTCTCTTTCCGGGAAAAGATTCTCCGACGCAGGACTTGACGGTCAACTTTGGCAACTCCGTGTTAACGCCCACTTTGACTGCTAGGAACCTCGGCGTCACACTCGACAGCCAACTCTCCCTGACTCCCAAGATCACTGCAACAACACGATCCTGTAGATACACGCTCTACAACATCAGGAGAATTGGTGCTCACGTACCATGCTGTGAATGGATCAGGTCCAGCTTACATCCAGGACATGGTCAAACTCTACATCCCGACCCGCACTCTCCGCTCTGCATCTGCAAAACTGCTCGTCCCTCCCTCACTGAGAGCAAAACACTCGACTAGATCGCGACTCGTTGCTGTCCTTGCTTCCAAATGGTGGAACGAGCTGTCTGAAGACACCAGGACCGCAGAGAGCCTTCACATCTTCCGCCGCAAACTAAAGACACACCTCTTCAGACTCTACCTCGACTAAAAGACTAACAAATTGTAGCACTTAAATTGTACTTATAACGCCTCTCATCTATAGCAAATTGTAAATTGGCTTGTTTGATGAAATTGCACTTTCTTGTTTCTTGCTCTTCTGAGTTTGTATCCTTATGATTGAATGCGCTTATTGTAAGTGGCTTTGGATAAAAGCATCAGCTAAATTACAAGTAATGTAATGTAATAAAGATAAACCGCACATTCTTATACTAGAGAATACACAAATATTTCCCATTTCCACTTGATAATTGACTATTAAAATAACTAACTGAGTGACTAATCAACTTTTTAAACTGTTTTCTGTCGCTTAACTGATTAATGTGTGCGTGTTTAAAGACTAATTTGTACAAAAACAATGGTACGCGCAGCCAAAGCTCACCTTGGCCATTGCTTGCACATTGTACTCCAGCTGCTGGATGTGATTCTGGAGTTTCTGACTTTCTGACAGTGTGGGGTCCAGTCCGTTTGGTTGAATGGCCCCTGTTTAAAGAATACATCACATCATATGTTGTGTCCAAACAAACAGAAATGAATAAGCAGAGGGACAACTTTTATCAAGGCCTGATCAGCAACGAATAATTACCATTATTCTGACAAGAAACTAACTAAAAGTCACCCATGTGACAGGATGTGAGTTATTTTGAAATCAGGAACAATGACAGTGACGATTCCATGAAGAATCAGATACAAATGTCGATGTCTGAATACGTCAGCCCCACAGAATGGGTTTGACAAGGCCAGAAAAAGCAGAATGTGACATCAACAGCTAGACCAGATATACCTCTGCTATGAGTAACACTTTCGCTGTAGTATTGTGAATAGAAAGTCAGGCTTGTATGTCACAATGACACTGACATGAATCTTTTTTTAAATAATTATTTACATTTGGTTATTTCACTACATAATAAATTGCATGTAAGAGGAATACAAAAAACACCACTGTTTAAATTATATTATATAATGTTACCTCTCTAACAAGTCATTCAAAGCCGTAGAGTCACATTTTGGCGCCTGCTTCGCCTGTTCATACTACTTTAGGTATGTGAACAGGAAGCAGGGCCATCTGAGTTCAGCCTACCTCCTGTTTCTTCGTGTGTCCTACCTTGTAAACTCTCATAGTTCTGCCTCTCCCAGTTGAGCTCTTCTTGCATCTGGTGCATTTTTTGTCGGATGTTCTGGACCTCGAGTACCTTCAGAACCAGGCAGTCCAGATCCTGCATGTTGGGGAACGAGGACTCTATATTCGGGAACGGTTGGAACTGTGGCTGAGCAGACTGAAAGAAATGGAACAGCACTTAATACACTTAATCTCATAAATCTGCAAGTATACCATTTGTATTTCAAATGCAGTGTGTAATATTATTGCCTGCTAAGTATTTTACATGCATCTTTGCTCTGCGGCTTTGTATGTTATTGTTTGTAATTGTTTCTTTTGTCACCTTTTATCTACACTCTTGAGATCATGCCTCACTAGGTCGTACAAAATGATGAGACAGCACATGTAAACGGGCAGACACTATTTGTTAAGATATCTTACCGTGTCGAGCAAACCCCTCTCCTGATTCAGGATGTCCCTGACCATCACTCCAAACTGCAGAGGCTGCGCCTGGAAAATGTTCTGTGAATCCACAGCATGTGTCCTCACGTTAGTAAAACAGTCAATTATGTCACCGTGGCAACTGGTATGCAGGTTTATACAGTTAGTGACGTTACATTTCTACTGGTACCAGAAATATGTGAAGATAATCAATTATTATAGATTCCTTAGAGACAATCACGTCTTTCTCTGGTATCCTGTGATCAGTGTACTTTACATAGGCTTTTGTTTTTTCATTTGTAAGTGTTTGTAGTGTAAGTGCTCTCTACAGCCCGACAGACACTTCCATCACTCACGAGAAAAACAATGTTTTCCTCGAAATGAGAAAAACACCTTCCTGTCTTTGGTTGCAGCGGTTGCAGACACCACGACCACCAACGGCTTAGCGATAATAAGGACTTGAAGTTACTGCGTTACACTTTATTCAAACGCCGCGTTCCAGGTTCTGACGTAAATCCTGTGGGACACAGTTCACCCACCATGTTCTTGCTGAACTGCATCAGCTTCATCTTGTCCACCACGTTGGTGGTCTGCTGTGCGATTGATTGCAGCATGCTGATGGTCTGGTCCAAGAGAGCCTGAGCTTGGTTCTTCTGCTCCACATTTTCCAGTGCAAAGTCGTCCCTGTAAGCACAGACACACACACACACACACACACACTTGAATACACAGTTTATGCATTCAGAAATAAACATGTGCATTGATGCAAAATGCTGCACACATAAAAGTGCTGCGGTTGATGTAAAATATACAGTACGTGTGCATGTGTGTTTGATAAGTCATACCATCTTTGTCCCTCAATCCACTGAGCTAAAAAATGTCTGACTTCAATGGGGAAGGCGGTCGGGGGATAGAGGTTGTTGATAGTTTCATTGGTCAGGTGCGGTAACATCTGAGACATATGGGTCCACTGGGCCATGGTCAGAGAGGGCTGCAGGAATACAAAGGTGTAAACGAACATCATACATGCTGAACAGAATGTGAACATGTAAAAATCCAAATAGAGAGACACGATATGGCATGCAATCTTTTATAACCGTTAAATTATTGGGCATGACAGATAAACAATCAACTGAATAGCTCTTACTATACTTATACTCAACCAGCAGTTGAGTATAAGTATAGTAAAAGAAGTTAGTGGGTTAGTTTGTGAGGTCTTACGTCATTTCTTTACAATAAATATGACGGTACGGGTTAGCTTAGCTTAGCATCAAGACTGACAGCAGTGGTAAGCAGCTGGCTTTGTAAACAGGTAGTAAAATCAGCCTAGCAACAGCTCTGTAGTTCAGATGTTAAATAACTTAAATCCAAAATCCAAAAAGCTGCAGTGCAACGTCAACATTCTAACTAAACTACTGCTATGTTCAATTTAGTATTCATAAATGAGCTGAAACCTTTTAAATTGTACCCAGTATTATGGACAAAGATCACATTTCTACAGATAATGAAAAAAATTGTCCATTTTCCAAAATAAAGTCAGAGATGAATGGCTTATCAATCGTAACTTGGTTTAATTGCAGTTTAGTTTCTCTGTAATCTGAGTGAGACTAAACGGCATCTATTGATGTTATTTTGATATATATATATATATTAAAATCGAATTGTTAAAACATATTGTTTACTACAGCTTTGAAGGACAACGCTAAGCAGTTAACTGTCAGTGTGTAGAAAAGCTTCAACAGTGAATCACAGTAGGAGGAAGCATTTCAAAGCCTGGAATGTGGACCTGAAGTGGATATTCAATGCAGACAAGACATCTGCAGGACCATAAATTGGAATATAAATTGCATCTAGGTACTGAAACCCAGATCCCTTCTGCAGGATAAATCCGTTTCTGAAGCGACTCTGATGCTCAAAAGCACTTTATTCCACAGCAGCTGCTTGAACAAACATAACACTGTATGTTCCTCGTAGTTACTTTAATTATAACCTCTTTATTACCAAACAAGTCCGCCATTACCCTGATTGTCTTGGTTTTTATTTTGAATGCTGAATTTGACAAACGTACCAAGACGAACAGCAACAAAGAACACAATTAATCCTTTAAGTTAAACCTTTTCCAACACTCCGCCCTGTTTACCGTCACGCTGTTTGTCCCCTTTCTGTTTGATCAAATACGGTGATGTGACACCGTGTTTATAGTTCCAACACCATTAGTACCCAATAGATTCCGACGCCACGTGAATGCCACATTAAACAGAATCGAGGTGATTTTTGTAGGAACTGTAACTGAGCGTGGAGGGCGGGCCTAAATTCGTAGAGATTGTAGCTGCCTTGATCGATACAAAACCTCGCATTTTGACGATGGATCAGGATGATTTTGGTACATCAAGGCCACCAGAACACTCCTCAGGGGTCACAAACAACTTTTAAACATAAACCCGGAGAGATGGCAATCACGAGTAACCACCTCTTCTCTGATACTCCTGTTGCTTTACATATCTGCTATTTTTGTATTTCGTTGTATTGCATTACATTTTGCTCTACACTACTACACGCGTACTACTGTACTACTGTGGTATGTAGTATTATATTGATCATCTCAAGCCACTTGTAACAACCCACCCGAGGATCACAGAACACTGAAGCGGTCTTTAGTCTAAATCAACGTTCACTATTCCTGCTACATAAATGCGCAAGATGGCACAGATCGAAATTTACGCCTCTTGTCAGCAAGGGAAAGTTTAACTGTACATAACCACTAGTGCGGGTTTGCATATGTCGTTGACTGTATTTCAGGCCCACACACATAACACAACAGTCCATAACATGACAGAGACACACACGTCGAGTACACGTCGATCTCTCGGCCGCAGTGTTTAACAGGAACAAAAAAACAACAACAACAAAAACCCCACCGACTTACCCTCAGCTAAACGTAGATTTGACACATGGAAAAAAACAAACCGCTGTGGTGTCCCGTGCGCGTCAAGTCCTCCGCCAGCCCGAACCATCTAGCGAGCATTTCCTGCCTCCATCCCTCCCTTCCACTGCACTTCTGTCCCCCCCCCTCCCCTAATAAAAAAAGGCCCCAAAAAGGCCCCGTCGTCGTCACTGCGGTACTATTGCTTTGGCGGAGGAGAAACCACCTTCCGGGCCAACGAGCTGCTTGGCACCGACCACTTGTGCGCGCCGCGCCAAACGGGTTCCACTTCCCTGTTGCGCACCGCGAGCCAGAAGCGAGGGAGCGCGCGCCTCATTTCCTGCCTTCAAGTGCCGACATGACCCGAGACAATCGATCGATCGATCCTCACTCACAAACGCCGTCTGCCGGTGGAAACAACACACCGAACGCGGATTGTGTGCGTGCGTGCGTAAACAGCGAATAGTTTCTCAAATATGTGGTGCTTTGGCCCACTGCGCGCGCGTCCTCACAACGCGGTGTGCGGGCGCTTTAGTTTTTTAATAGCTGATTAATAATACTATTAATAGTGGGAACACTTTTAATAAAAAGTGGCATTTAAGTATCCGCCTTGAAACAGAAAGTACAGAAACTTCCACAGAAAGGATCGGTAGGCGGAGTGAGTCATTTCATGCTGCAACTTCCAGTAAGACCGAGACACATGACACCGCGTCTGCTAATGGCAGCGGCTTCACGCTGTGTAAACACACACAAATAAACGGGGTCGTCGTGAGAGACGGGACGCGGTGAAATGGCGCAGGGCTGATAGCCACGTGGAGCAGGCCGGTTGTTAGATGTTTGTCAAACATCAACGGCTACGTGGAAGGAAAATGTCAGCGTGAGGATCGCGAGGCAGCGAGACGTGTCCTCAAACAGCTCCAAATAGCTAAAGAGCAAAAAGAAAGCTGTTCACAAGTATGTTTACCCTGCACGCTTTACTCAATCAGGAAACAGGGACTGAAAACTGTTGTAATATCCGTAGTGTACATAGAAATACAGTATAAAGAACTGTTGTGACGATAACGCCACAAACGCTAGAGGGCAGCGATGCTCCACTGAAGGTCTGTGAGCTGAAGAAGGAGAACGAGCTTCGGTGACGCACTTCCTAAAATGACAGGAACTCGTTCCTTGTCCTTCAAAGCCTCACGTGACCTGCCGAGTCCTTCATAGATATATATACAAAGGTTATATATATAAAACAAAATATATATTTTTTTAAATAATGTTTTATTTTACTTACATTTTACTACTTAAATACCTTTTAAATGTATATTGTTACTTTTTCTGACATACTTTATAATAACTTTTTTTTAGAATTTTTAGCATACTTGACTGTTACTTTATTCTATATTTTTTAGTTTTTTTCAACTTACTATAACACAACTATTTTTCAACACGACGTGCTATTCAGTGAATCTCTTTTACATATATGTTAAGGCTTTTTTCAACATCATGCTAAGTGGAGGAAAACAAAGTCCAAGGAAAAAAAGAAAAGTTTTGACTAACCAACCCATAACAATAACTCCTCTACACAATGCCACACTTGAAAAGTAGTGTACTGACAAAGAACAATGAAAGAAAGAAACCGACCGTACGACTCATTTTTGGCATTTGCCATCATTTTTTTGCTATGACTTTTTTTCACCATACCATATTAGGACTTATTCGACTTGCTATTCCATCACTTTTTTCACCATACTATAATATGATATTTAATCAATTACTTTGCCCTATTACACAATTAGGTTTTTAGACTTTTGTTACGCCCTATGCTGGAACATTTTTCAACTGCTTTACTATTACTTTCTTTTCATTATCACTATTTTTCACAGTATTATGCTACTATTTTTCGTATCCTTTATTGACATGGGACTATGCTATAGCATACATTGAAATACAGTATTTTCACTCTTTTATGACATGTTTTTTGGCACACTACTACTGTGTATATTACTCTCACTATTGAGAGTAATATAAACAGACTTATTGAAGACCATCGGCCCAGACTCTACTCAAGCATCAACTGGCAGACGAGCTTCTTGGGTTTTACTGCAGGTTTGAAGTCCACATTCATCACTATCCTTCATCAGCTCCATCAGCAACATTTATCAACTACCTCCAAACCCTTCACTGCTTCCTCACTGAGCCACAACCAGGATCTGTAGAGAGGAAGTCTGTCTGCGCTTTGATAGACAGAAATAACTGAAAACACTGTGCCCAGATGACATGTGTCCCTTTATTGATTGCTGATCCATGGTGCTGATTTATACACCTGTTCATTCACTACTTGTATTACCTTACAGTATTTGTCCTGCTTTGTCCAAACTTGATACAAATATATAGAGTAATAAAAGTGATTATGTGTGTGATTATACTCGTTTCTTTAGTAGGATATTTTGTTGGGATGATTGATTGATTCGAATCGATAATGTTAATAATGTTTAGAGTCATACCATATTATGACATACTACACTGTGACATGGGATCAGCTGTAGCACCAAGCGACCCTGAAATGATGCATTGTTAAAGATAATGGATGGAACAAATGGGTACACTAAGACACATTTGTATTGGCCAATTATATACAGTATATTATATTGTAGATCCTTTCTCTGACTTTTCCCAAGTGCTTTAACACTGTTAGACTTGATAAGTCCTTAACTCATTACCAGTCTGATGGATGCGGCCGGATCAACAACCTCGCAGGTCTGACAAAATAAAGAGTAACATGGGGACATCCCTGGGAACTTTATCCTCCCTCTTCCTGTTTACATCATCTAAGTCCAAGATTCAGAGTGTAGACAGATGTCCACTTCAGAGGTGCCGTGGATGACTCAGTCAGTGTGGGTGGTGGGAACTGGGGGCTGAACGCAGTATTGTGGTGGTCATTTGCGTACAGTGGCATGAACTGAGTGAACGTCACAAAGAATTAAGGGGGGCAGGAGGATTTTGGGAGTTGAACCAACCCGTCTGACCCCAATCTGCATTACGGGAATATAGTTGGAGATCGTCAAGGAGTAACGTGTCAAGTACTGACATGAAAAGTTTTTAACTCTAACATTTTGTAAAAGTTTTATTAAAAACATTAGAAAGACACAAATACAAACATCTGAACGAATACAAACGCTCCGGTCTTTGTGTCGAGTTTGAACATGCAAAATATGTCTTTCTTTTGTCTTTTTTTTTCATTTTTAGACGTTCTGTTTAGAGATTGGTAAGAGTTGAGTTGGTGTGTTTTTTAATGTTTATTTCTCCATTGTTCTGCACATCCAACTATTTCATTTCACATTTAAGGGGGTTCATTTTTGGGGGTTGATTATTGAGGTCTTCTGATTGTGGTGACTGAGCTCAGGACATTTAGGCTGATTGTTCAGTCAGGTTTGATGCTCCTGATTTAGATGTTACCAAATTTAAATAGATTTTTATTGTATTTTAATTGTTAGACTTTTACTTAATTCTGCTCTTCATGTATGTCTCTCACCCTCCGATGGTTTTTTAGTGTCTCTGTGTGAATGATGTTCTTCAGATTAGCTTCTTGTGTTGGTGAAGCATGTTCTCCTTCCAGGTTACAAGGAGGAATTTGATATTATCTCCTGGATTTGCTTTTTTCATATATGTTCACATCACATTGTTGTTATCGGGTTTGTCCGTGTCTGCTAAATGTGCCTAAGCACAGAGAGTGTTCTAGACTGTAAAGATGTAAGCCACCTGAGGCGCGTATATGACGCTATGAGAATATAATGGACTTCATTGATGTAACTTGTAACTAACTCTGTGTTTGCAGGTTAGTCCACTGGGGGTCACTAGTGCGTTTATTATGTTTCACCTCAGCTGTTTGAGGTTTTGGAGTTTTATAATAGATCTATGTAGATCTTTTATGGCTGTGAACATATGTTTTGATTTCCCATTCGGTTTCATTGGGGTTTTGCACTTAATGCTGTGCGCTCTTTAGGAGTTTAGCACAAAAGGCAAAATGCTCACTTTGATGAATTTTACAAAAATACCACAAACGTTAATATAATTGTTAATATATCGGTGAGGGTTTAATAAGAATGGCTTCATGGCCCAATCAGGTAATACGAAGGGTTTAATATTTACTTTCGCCACATGAGGAAAATTTAGACCTGATATTGATCTGCTTCTCCATCAACGTGTTTAATAGTCTGTTTGGAATTAGCTGCCATCATGGCATCATCACACATGATCTTCTGCATAAATAAAACTACCAAAACATGGAGAGTTTCATGTTCATCTGGTTAAATGCATATCATGTTCTGCTGCTGTTCTCACTGGGACCCTTGTGTTGTCCTCCGTACCTATTTACTATTTATTTATTCAGCGATCACATTTTAGTCATGTGAGAGGGGGCAGGTCCAGATATTTTACCAGGACATTCCATCTGTCAAACCCAATTTCCTCAGAATTTTGATTGACCTGTGCAACACAGAAACAATGCAGCTGCAACGATTTGACCGTTTTTATTCAAACAACTCGAACGATCGCCGTGGTGCCGTTCTTTCCTCACTCGATCCAGGTTTCAGATTAGCTTGTTCGTCTGTCTTGGAGCGGCAGACTTCATCGGATGGTTGTGATTCATTTGGTCTGTGTTCTCTCATTAGGTCTTGATACTCTGTACAAACCGCCGAAAGTCTACCATTAAGATTAGACTCTTTACTATTTAGGCCAATATTTATGATGAGAAAATACTGAATTTGTCATGTTAATTTACAATCGAAGTCTCTAGAGAAGATGACTTAAAACCATTTAGAAAACATATTTTAAACCTTTTAAAAGTGCTGGTTTTAGGTTTGGTGTTGCAACATATTTTTCACATCATTGTTTTTGTCACTTTTGTTTGCTGCATTATTACCCTCCATGTGGGCCCAACGCCATTTCTTGGGGTCTTCTTAGGTAAAGGGCCCTAACAGCGGCTTTTCAACATCTGGAACCAATAGCGCTGTGCGGGCTATCTGTGGGACCAGGGGGCTTGGAGGTTGTGGGCTGGATTGGGGTGTAGGGGGGTGGGGGAGGGGGGCTAGTTGCTGCTTTGGCCCTGGGGGTCCGTGTGTCCCTGACTTCAAAATAGACTTGATTGCTAACAGCCGGCAGTCCTAACTCACCCAGTGTCAGAGCTCTCCTCTGATGTCAACCTTGTCAGTATCAAGGCCCGGACAAGACCTGCAGCACGGCAAAGGTGGGGAAGAGGAGTGTGTGAGTGGGAAATGAGATTCAGAGAAGGACCTTATTTTATTAAGGTTGTTGCCGTAAATAACTTTAAAACATAGACAACTCTTCAGAATAAAAAAACGTGTGCATAGGGGTAAATTGTTTTCTGTCGCAGTCAGCACACACCAAATAAATAAACACCAAATAGTCAGAGTAGTCATAGATGCATCCATGAGAAATGTGGTGACT